CTGTCCTTAATGATGGTCCCTCAGAATCTACTTTCCTGGATCTTCCTCATTTTATTGACTACTTTTTCTTATTCAAACTCACTCCCACTAATGCCTTTATATATCATCTCTGTGTACTTCCTAGCTTTGGGGCTGCAGCCCAAACTTCTCTCCTCCTGGAACATCTATCTGAATTGCCTTTCCAACATCTCAAGTTATTCAGGAGGACACATAAAGTTTAAATCACTAAAATTGATTTCTTGGTTCCACTTCCCCAAACCTGTCCCTCTCTCGGTACTTCCTGTATTGGTAAAGGGTAACTTCCTTCATCCAGCTATTTAAACCACAAATCTTGGGGTCATGCTTGATTTTTCTCTTCCTCACACCTGCCATGTCCAGTCTAGCTGTACATTTTATTGGGTGTCCCATCGTTATATTTCCAATCGAATGACTTCTTGCCACCACTCTTCCTCCTCCAAGAGCCATTTGAGTAGACTGTTGCAGTAGCCTTATTACTAACCCCCCACCCTCCCCACCCACTTCCACTTTGTCCCTATACCTCACCCAACATGACCCTTTCAAAAATTCAAGTCATGTTTGTTCTTGGGGGAAAGGCACGTCTTTTTAGAATGAAAGGTGCCATTCTTTTTTTTTTTTTAAAGATTTATTTATTTATGCATACAAGAGCTAGGGTGTAGGCCAGAGGTGGTGGTGGGGGGAGCAGGTGAGAGGATTCACCAGAGACAGTGGGGAGCAGAATAGGTGGGTTGACTGAAATACACTTCTGAGGGGAGCAGCAGATTAGGCAAGGGAGGTCTGCTGCGCCATGTGGGTTACCTAACTGGCTGGGGATTGAAGTCATGCTGCAGTAGTTGCAGATTGCTTCACAGTGCTGACACTTAACCCCCTGCGTCACAGGGAGGCCCCTGAAAGGTGCCATTCTTATAAAAGCCATACTCAACTTGCCCTACTCCCACCAACACCATATGCACACACCTCTCTTACCTGCTTCCTCACTTCTTCACCTGCTTTGATTTCTTGTTCTTTATGTCTTCCAGGTATGCTCTGTTCTCAGAGACTTGGTGTTCATATTTTCCTACCTGAAATGTTCTTCCTATCTATTCACATAGCTCATACTCTTCTCACTCTCGAGGTAGAGCACACTTTATGATCTACCACAGCCTTTCCTGACCACCACGTTGAAAACTGTCCTCATGACCCTTTAGAGGTATATCTCTCATAATATCATCACCACCTGACACATTATACATTTTATTGTATCTTGTCTTCCCCACTGGGATAGAAGCTCCATGAGAACAAGTACATTTTCTGTGCATCCACATCCTTTTCCCTAAGGGTGCCGAATACCCAGTCCAGTCTTGCCTGATTGGATGATTCTGCCAGACTCTGCTCAATTATCAGTGAATTTCATCCCTCTTTGGGCAAAAGTTTATCAGCTCTGCTGAGTAACAGAATCACTGGGGAGCCTAAAATCCACATGACCTGGCCCCACCCCCTAGAGATCCAAATGAGGAAGATTCTGGGAGAGAATCCATAACATTTTTGAAGAAGCGCCCCACATGATTTTGATGTGGGCTAACCAAATCACACCTTGCCAAACTTTGCCTCAGTGTACCAGTTTTTATCTGTTTATCTGTGGCTCTGGTTTTTTGAGTGTTGTTTTATATATATATCAGCAGTTCTTGACTCACCTGGGAACCTAAATATAGATCTCCTAGCCCCATTTCAGCCTTGTGAATCAGAGCTTCCAGGGATGGGTCCTGGAAATTTTTTTTGAAAACTCCCTCATTACCTCTGATATAGTCAGTCTTCTCACTAGCCCTTGGCAGCCCAGCTATGTTTTACAAACTCCTTGAGGAGATTGTAAACTCAAGAACAGGTTTGTGTTTTTTTTTTTCCCATGTCTTTTTTAGGTCAACTTCTCTCCTCACTCCTCATCCATACAACAGTATTCTGTTCAAATTTAGTTCTCAGAAGTCACTGTGGAGTGAACTCCTTGATTTAACCACAGTTTCAACCTGCCTTTGTAACTTGAACATCAACCAGTATTGCTAACTACATTTCATTCTAGCCTGTTCTCTGATTAGAGGCAGGAAGAGTGTCTTAGTTGCACAGCTCATTCTCATGGGAACTCTCACTGTAGTCCTTTCTACCCAGGCATTTAAAATGTGTTTCTCAGATAAGAACAGACCATACTGAAGTGATGTTACCCATTACCACATTCACCTGCTTAACCTTCTCCTTGGACCTGTACTGGAGCACATGTACTTTGGGTATCATGGCCCTTGCCATTAAGCCCCTGGTCTCCTGAGCATCCCCAGAGATAGAGACAAGCCTTGACCCCTTGCTTTGGGAGCCTGGGCTGCTTAAGTGACTGAGGAGGGGATTTCCCTAGATGAGTCTTCTTCAGGGGCCAGTACCTTTTCCCTACTTCTGTTTGGTTTTGCCTTGAACTATATATAGGCACTCTATACAGAAGGAAATTTTCAATACTAAAATCCTCAAAATATTACCAAAAATAAATGGGGGTAGGGGATAGGTCAGGTAACCAGGGAACGATAATATATAGAGTTTTATTCTTTGGCCCGACTCAGAACTAACTTCCATGTTGTGAAGAGTCACGGCCAAAGTCCCAAAGAGACCCTCTTTGTTAACCTGTATCTTGAATACTAGACGCCCCACATGAGGTACTTACTCTGATTTTTGAGTAGTCAGCTGGCAGCCTCTTTGATTATGTTGGTTTGTCTCGATTTGTGGAAGATGTCAGGGTCATTACTCAGGACAGAACTGGAAGAGGATTAGTGTGGTCCAGGTAAACAGGGTGCACTTGCTACTTTCTCAGCATACACTATCTGCACCTTAGAGTTTTGCCTCTGGATAAGCCACAGATTGCATTTTGATGCCAGATGTGAAACACCATTAGTAATCAGGATGATTCCCTTGGGAAATCCTGTTCCCAGGTGATAGCTGCTTCCTCTGGAATACTTGTTAGGGGTGGTGAGGGGGCTCTGGAGGCTGAGATTTAGCTACAAAGGAGAGTGAGTTGACCCTAGAAAAGTCAGAATGAGAGATCTCTAATGAGATCTGACAGTTCAAGGGCTGAAGAAGGATTCTAATCTTTTTTTTTCTCCTGCCCACCCAGTCTTCATACAAATGTAAATATGCCTCCTTCAACAAATTGCCAAATGTGGTTTTAATTTGTAAGCAGTAGGCCCCGCCTTGCCTTTTTCTTTTTTCTTTTTGCTTTTCTTTTCTTTTTTTAAGACTAAGTCACAGGTTTTGCACTTCTTGAACTGGACATTTCCCTCTGTCACTCTGTCACTTTTTCTGTTATCCTTTTTCTTCTAAGGACATTTGGCCCCCATTGTTTGTTGTCAGAGGAATTTGGGATGAGAGTCAATTGTTCTGTTTCTTAAAGAAGTTTTTGAAGTTCCCATAGGAAATAAATAGTGGTCTTTAAACTAAGTTTAAAAAATAAATAAAGGCCGTGTTTGAATCTAATATGAGATTTGAAGAGAGTGTCACTATCGCGGTATCATACTTTATGTGGTCTACGCAGTATCCATTGTTGTTATTTATGACCCTGTCTGCCTTCCATTGTGGACTTCTTCCAGCCTTGGGGAATTTACATCATTCCTAATAGCAAAAGGCTTTCTGGTTCCCACAGAGTTGTTCAAAGCCTGACTCATGCTCCTTATGTTAATTGTTCAGCTCTGAAAATACAGCACTTACAGGGTGTGGTTGTAAGGGGAAAATCTACTGTACTTATAGGGCATGTTTAGAAGTGTTTCACACATAAATCTCAATCTCTCTCCTTCTCTGTGTGTGTCTGTCCATTTAGCTTTTAAACTAGAGTTTTTTGTTTTGGGTTTTTTTTTGGTCAACTAGTAAATCCTGTGGGGTTAAAAAGAGACACATCAAAATGCAGTATAAGCCAATAAAACCTATAACATTCCATAAAACTGTGTTGGGTTATAACTGGATAAGACTTTGAGTGACTTTGGTTCAGGGCTGAAACCATGGTAGGGTTGATGGCTGGCACTCAAGTCTGGAGGGCAACGATTGGATAAAGCCCATAACATTGTGGTGCACCCAGGCCTCTTGTGATGGCTGCCCCCTGCCAGGCTCTGGAGCTGCTGTTGTTAATTCCAGTGTAAGTCTAACTAGTAAACTCAAGATTAACCAAAACTGTTCCTTGTGGTGGCAACATGCTACTTTGGAATCTGATGTAAAAGGGCACTAGGTTTCCAGAAAATAAAAGAAGTTAACACCTCTTCTGGAGGACTTATTGCTAAAAAAAGGGTACAATTTCAAAAGTATGAAATGTATCAATGTTGGCAAAACTTGGGAGGTTGTTATGTTTTGTAATTACTTCCTTACAAAGCTTCCATGGGAACGTGCAAGTATAGATAGTCTGTGAATTTTATTAAATGACTGTGGTACTTAGAGCTTAAGGGGTGGAGTGGGGGAAAATCCTGTTTTTTTTTGATAGCCAAGAATCACAACTTCTATTTTTCAGACTACCTGTATTAACAGACTTACCTCTTCATAGAGCTTGAGTATTGCAAAGACCATATATTGTATTTTTTTAATAGGAAAAAAATGGGGAATTCCTAGGCTAATCAAGGTACCGATCGTGATGCCAACAGGTCTTTCTGGAAGATGCCTAGTACAGTGATTCTGGGCCTTGTCACCATTTGGACCACAGACATATCAGATATTGGCCACGAGTTCTCAGATTGTAAAGGAAAGGATGGTGATTCCAAACTGTCTTATTTGTTTGTGGCACATTTTAATATATGAGAGGTGTGAGCTAGGAGTCCCAAAGAAGTGACACTTCACAAAAACTAGGTTAAAAACATTAAAATAGCCGAACACCAGACAATTCCATATATCTTCACAAAAATAAATCTGTTCATTGGGGCATTTGGAGTATAACTGTTTTTTCTCATGTTCAGCTAATAGATTTCTGTTTGAACCTTTGTTATCTTTTGGAATAGACGGAAAGAGCTCTCCATGGAGCGTCTGAGTATTTTGCTGAGTATGCAGAGAGTTCACTTCCCCCCTGTGCAAAGCTCAAGAGAAATGCTCTGAGAGAAATGTAGGTCCAGTGTATTTCCTTTTTTCTCATTTTTCACTGCTGAATTATATGGATACACAAAATAAAGTGTAGAATCACAAACCCCCTCTGGCACTGACCCTACCCTAAGTCACATACTTGCTCTTCCAGCTCCCTGACTCTTTCTCTAACTTTCTGGACAATGAGGATGGAGACCTTGCTTCACAGGTGTGTTGCAAGGAGTAATTAATTACAAGTCCTTTGAAGATGAAAAGCACCTGTTGGTGGTGTGTTTCATACAACTTTCGGAGTGACTACAAACAGATCTAAAAAATACATTCCTTTCCTAAGATGCTTGTTCTGACCCTAATAATAATTATGATAATCCTCATGTCCCTGATAACAACACTAACAACATGACTATATATTTGATTCCAGACTAAAGATTAACCAAAATAAATACTTTTCAGTATTTGGAATTTAGTGGTTTAAGAAAGTTCTTGCTCTTCACAAGCTTGCAAATATATGCAGAAGTCAAAGTCTTTCATCTCTAAAATGTCCCTCTGCCCTGCCCCTCAAAGTGGATTTTACAATGTGAAGCTTGCGTTGCCTGTTGTGTGTGCTGTAGAAAAGGTGTGTGTGTGTATCTCAAAGGAAATGCTCTGAAAGGAAGGTAAGATATGTGTGTATATGTGTATGTGTGTGTAGATAGATATTTTATAAATTTTTCCAGGAAAGTGTTGGGGGGATAGAATAGTGCAAGCCTCCGTTTTCAGGTATAGGAAATGCAGTAAGAACAATTTGGAGTGTGTACGTACACACATGCATACGTCTATGCACATATACTTTTCTCTGCCATTATTTGCTGCTTTTCTTTCATGCTATCTGGAATTTTTTCTAGTCCATATCAAATTATATTAACTGAATCCTATTTCCAGATGGTTGATCAAAAGGCCTGACACCAGCTAAATGGTGATTATATCTGAGTAATACCTTGAAATGGCCTGAGAGAAACTTCAGATTATTCTTTACTTACAAATATAAGCACGTTCTTATACACATACGTGCACATACCCACTGCCTGTGCTTTGGAAATATTTGCGCATCCACGTCTGGGAACAGTTCTGCATATCAAATACAGACCCTTAACATCTGAAATGAATATCTATTTCCCTTGGTTAAAATATGAACTCCATCATAGCTCCATCAGTAACCCAGTGATCAATAAACAAAGTGTGTCCTCATGTTTCCCAATGTATTGGAAAATTGCTCGATCCAATTTGCACTTAAATATACACTTAGGAATTTTTCTGGAATTGCCAGAGAGATGAGGAGAAAGGGAAATAGTGCATGTCCCTTTTTCAGGTATAGGAAGTGTGGTAAGGGGGATTTGGAGAAAACCATGCCTTTACATTTTTACAAAACAACAAAATATCTTATCCTTTTTTAGTGTGAAAAGAACTGAAACCAAAAAAACGGCGCTGTGAACAAACCATGGAGCAGCAGGGACATTGTGGGAAATCTGGTGACTCAGTGATTACAGAGATAGCAAGGAAGGGGGATGCCAGTCAGGCTTCATCCAGACCCAGTCGGAGTCCACAGGACAAGGGAAGGATTACATAAAGGCAGCTGAGAGCCACTGGGGGCTTCCTGTTCAAAAGCTGGAAAATGTTCATCAAACCCAGCCAGAAGACACTTGCAGCCAGCAAAAACCTCATCCTGGGGAGCGGTTAGAGACAGGGCTTCGAAGTGGGAGCCCTGTCTGTAGCTGTGAGTCAGCATCACCGGGTCCAAAACAAAGTCCACGAGGGGCCAAAACACAACAGAAATGCAGGAACTGCAGCTCTGCGGAAGACATCGACCTCCACAAGAGAGTTTCTCTTGGAAATGATCGATCAGTCCCGAGAGAAATAATAGTGGAAAAAAGCACAACTGTCAGGGTTTTGCCAACTTTAGAGCTGTCAGTTCCGGGGTTACTTTTGAAACAAGATTTGGCAAAAACCACGTCTAATGAGGAGTTGCATGTTTTGGAAAATCTCTCCTCCAGACATCTTATGAAAAGTAAGCCAGGGCAGGCACAACAAACTGGCTCAGCCACAAACATGGAAAGATTATGTACACTCAGGGCAGCCCAACCAGAAAAGAAGAAGTATGAAAGAGACCACTAGCTTACTAAAGAGGATTGCAAAATCGGAGCTGAAGTTAGAGTGACCAAACTGGGAAAAATGAGCTGTGTGTATAACTGCTGTGATTTTTAAGGCATTAGATTGATTATTTTAAATAGAAGGTATATGTGTGTGTGTGTGTGTGTGTGTGTAGAGATACTCACACACATGCTAAGGTTAGCTTTTAAAGTAGTCATTAACCTACATGCTTATTCTAAAAACATTACTACCTTCTCATCATACTTTATAACTGTCTCTAGAAAAATATTTAAATGATGAACAGCCATTCACTTTGCAGGAACTGCAGGAAAAACCAATCATGTGCCTCCTTGGCAGGGATGTAGTTTATCCTTCTGTTCCTCAGTTTAAGTAGTGGAGCAAGCTGGGAAGGGGCAGGCTAGTGGTTCTCAGCATCTTGTTCTGGGATTAAAATCATTTCCTGAAAATGTATTAGAAATGCACATCTTGGACCCCACCCTAGATCTACTGAATGAGAAACTTCTGGTGATTCTGAAAGATGATCTGATTGGAGACTACCTAGTGTTTATTTCCTTCAGCCTAGATACCATGGCCTCCCCTGAATCAGCTGGGACCAACATGTGGCCATGCACAACCTGGTGCTCCCCCAAATTTGTAGAACACCTCGGTTCAGTGTATGGGTCAGTGGGTTCCCAGGGTCTATAGAATGATGCCACAGCATCAGGGAGCTGTCACTTACCCTAAGAATTGCTGGACATTTACCAATAACTTGGCCCAGCATTAGGGGAAAACTTGGAAAGGCTTGCTCTTGCTTTGTTGCTCAGGCATGTGACTGTCCCTGCTCAGTCCCCCACCTGTAAGATTTTGATTTAGGTTCAGGAAGGACCAGAACCCAAGAGGAGCTCAGAAGCCAGAGTTTTCAATTTCCCATTTGGAAGTCTTCACTGGCAGTTTAAATTTCTAAACAGGAGCCTTCCTTTTGCAGTATCAGCCTCTAATGTCTCAGTGGGCTTGCTAAAATGTCACTTAGTGAATCATAGCAATAACTTATCTAAAGATTTTCTTAACCCATTTCATCCTAAAACAAGGCAGAAACCATATTCAAAGGCCATCAAATACAGATTTTTTTTTCCTTCCCAGCATTGGTTGATCTTTTGCAGTAGCACCTCCCTACTAATAAGGAAAATCAAGTATGTGCCCCCCAATTTTGGAGTTAACAGAAAAATAACCCAGAACAAGTTCAGCAAAATAAAGGAATTTGGAAGCAGGCACAGTATCAGCTCATGCTTGATACTGACTGGTGGTTCCACCAGCTCAATCTGTCCTTTCCTGTGTCTCTCTTCCCCAAATATATCAGAGGATAAGACTCATTAAAAGCAGTCCTATTTCATGGCACTATGTTTTGAGTTTTGAAATTCAATCTTGGTAACCATGGCTGGCCATGGATATATATGCTTTTCTTTTGATATTCTAAATCCTGCCTGGAAACCTGTCACTATCCCCTTCTGTGACCCCAGTCTCACCACCCCTACCAAGAAAATGGCCCTACTCATTGCGACTCTCCTCTTCCTGCCTTGCTGTTTTCCTCTCCCAGCTGATTCCAATCAGATATTTGTTTTTAGGAGAGGAGAGGGGCCAACAGAATACTAACCACAGTGGGACAGATTGACTGCAGAGAAAGGGACTCGCCTGATAAAATAGTAGAGTGACTGGTATTCTGAGTGTACTTTTCACTAAAGACAGGACTAATGTGTCATTGAATCTTCTTAAACAGAAGCAATTATCTAAATACTTCAAACAGAGGGCACAAATAATAACCCAAGTAATAGTCGAGAAATAACAAGCCCCCTGGACAAGAGTTTAAAATAGGATAGGATTCCAGAACAATAGCTGCTACCTGCCCTGGAACTAGAAAGAGGTATTTGAACTGGAGACAACAGAGAAAGTTTTTATTGAGAAATTTTGTTTTCCATAGTTAACTAACATACTTTTAAATGATTTTCTTTTGACTTCAGAGTTTTGTATATTTGTATAAATAACAATTCTTGTGATCTAAGAGGAAAAATGGCACCTTTGGTTGTAGGTTAAAAAGGTCTTTCTCACAGCCATCATGTACATGAGATTTTAGCAGGAATACTAGAGGAAACAGCTCTCCACTTCCACTCTTGTGAAAGAACTTCCACACTGTGGCATGTGTTTGAGAAATTTTGCCTTTTACCACTTTCCTTCTACATGGATCTCTTGTTACTTGAGTGGTTATATGAGTCTTTGGATATTTGAAAGTAGAAATAGGAAAATGTCTGCCAAAATTTTTTGTTGGTTCTTATATGGGGAATGAAGTGTTCTCTACTGCTGGGAGTGACATGTGTTCTGATATTCTTAAAATTTCAGGCCCTTTCAATAATCTAGAAAGAATAAGATCTTCAGTTACTGACTTAATTTCCCAACTTAATTTATGCAAATTCAAATCCCTGAACTTTTTGCTTGTGAGATCCAATTCAATTGATGTTATAATTGTGAACGTTCTAACTTTCTCAGTGTTGTGGCTGCTAAAAACCTGTGTGCTTTCAAATGCCTTGTTTAAGAGATTGTTGTTAGATTTATTATCTATGTCCATAAGCAAGAAATGTATGAGAATAGTAATAACAAATGATAAAGGTCTGACTTTCTTACACATTTTTCTTTCCTTTACCACTCAAAAGGGGTAACTGTCATCCAAACTGTTAAATGTGAACAAATTGTCCAATGCAAAGGAGTAAATGTTTGGGAGAGAGGTGTGAGTGTTGCAGCTTTCTCGTTCACCTATTTGAATATTTAAGAAGTAGAAAAGTATATTTCATCTTATAAAGAGCAAAAGTCATGAAAACCCCTGCATTTGATTTTTAGAGAATATATAGATTCTCTCCTAATGAAATATCTCAAGGTATTTGCCCGAGTGGGGGGGGGTGGGGTGAGGACAGTGGGATCATAGTTACTGTTTACTTTTGGTGTCATATTTGGATGTTAGCATGAACGGTTGTACGTATCAGTTGGTTTTGATTTCAGAGAGAACTTGGTGAGGGCACAGCACATGAAAGAAGGAAATCTCTATGCCAGAGTGCGATCTGGGTTCACAGTGTCACCAGTCCCAGTTTCCTTGAATTCCTTCTTGGCCTGCCTTGCTGGAGTATTGCCACCAAATTCTAGTGAGTTACCCTCCTTTTGAGATAACAAGTGTCTTTCCTAAGAGCCAAAAATTCTCTGTCCAGCATGCTATGACTTGAATATGGAAATCATTTTAATTTTGTCTTTTCTCTTATGAGGAAATTTCCATGCTTGGTTTGTCAAGATGAGAGAGTTCATTCTGTATTATTGAAACGCTAATGAATTGAAACATGTTGGAGCAAGTAAGAAATCAAAATTAAGCTGATTTCTCTTAAATAGTTTAAAGCCTTCCTTAGTACACAATAAATTAAGCATTGTAAAATGAAGTTAATTCAGATAATTACTCAGGACAGAAGTCCAACCATATATATCATTGATATTACAATTTAATGATGTAATTAAATTCTCAGAAATCTGTAGAACTCCCTCTAATTTAGTTTCTGTATTGATTGAACTAGACAAGGAACAAATACATGTCAATGTGTAGCAGAGGGGACTTGGTGTCTTTAATTGTCAAGAACAAATGAAGTACTGGACTTGAATTTCATTATATTCAAATAAGTTTCATTATGTGGCATAATATTACCAAGTGCTACCTTTTAATTTCCATTACAGTTACTAACTTACCAGGTATCTTGATTCTTTAATTAAACAAAAGTCAGAAAAAACATATATTTGACCCTACAGTATCTAATAAGGTGCCCGATGGTGTGGATTTGATAGATCTCCAGAAGAACTTTTGTAAATCAAGTTAGAAAGCCAAAAGCTGCAATAATCACCGGAAAAACTCATTGTTCCCTTCTGCCTCATCTTCTCATTGGGTTTGTTTAAACTATTTCAATACTATCAGTAGTTGTACCAGCCTAAGGAGTGAAAGTAGTATGTAGTAGAAATGAACCTGTTGTGTGAATAAAAAATAAAATTGTTTTAAAAAATTAGTGTGTATTATTTTTCTTCAGAACAAGGGAATTTACCCCAAGGAATGTGCACACACAATGCCCTTTTCTGAACATGCTATTTAAAATTACATTCGTTTTATTAGGAATTTTTTCCTTCTTGAAGTAATTCTGAGGTTTTTGAACACTGTTAAAATAATCAAAGGAGCTCTGCATTTGAACAAGCCCATAAGATTTGGGGGTGGTCTGTACCATGCAGATATGTTCCCACTTCTCCCAATTGTGAGCTAAGATAGACCCCTCTCGTGAGGGGTTAAAGTATGCGACCTTGACCCCTTTCCAGAGAATCTTGACATTTCCCAAGAGGATTCATTTCCATTTTCTAAGTGGATCTAGTCCTTGTTTGGCACTGAGTATAGTCTTGAGACGGTTCTTTCTCTACTCTGCCTTTTATGACAGGATCAGAGACCTCTCTGGTTACTTATAAATATATTTCCCCTTGGGTCCTGTACATAATTTTTCAGAAGCATTTCAGTATCAGGTTGGAGAAATACATTTGAATAGCTGTGATAAAATGCTGAAAACCACTGCAAAGCCCATTTCCCCTTAGGCTTTTGGTCATGGTGGCACACTGTAAGGCCTAATCCACAGGAAAACTGCCTTGCCCTGAACCTGGGGCCTGGGCGAAGGGTCCCGAGACACTATCACAGCCTGATACTGAAGCCGCAAACTCTGGATCTAGGCTGCTGCTTTGCTACTAATTGGTTTATGTGTCTGGGGACAAGTGACTTAACCTCTGGGGCCTCAGTTTCTTCATCTGTCAAATAAAATGCTCTAATATTTTAAGTGCTACCTTTATAGCATCACTCTTTACACTATAGTCTGGAGGTAGACTTACCTCTCCCATGCAGTGATTTGTCCATCTCTTTAAAAATGGGTTCTTGACACTGGCCACACATTGGAAATGCTTGGGTGGCTTCTAGTAAAATCAGAATCCTTAAGGTTTGGCAAGGGCATTGGCAGTTTTAAAAACTCCTCAAATAATAAGTCTCATGAGAAGCCATAGTTAAGAACTATTGTTTAAATTGTGGGGGTGGGGAGACGGGAGGATTAAATACTGAATTTTAAAAGAGCCCAAGTTTACTAAGAAGCTGAGTATCCTTCAGAAGAGGAAATTTCTACAAATCAGAAGTATACCTACTTTCAAGTCAATAGGAAAGGCTTTGGTGACAGGGTGTCAGGAATCATAGATACAAAGAGGTGTGTTTTGTTTTCAACTTAAGGCCCCTCTGTGTTAATTCTGCTGCTTTAGACCTAACACATCACAGCACAGCTTCATCTTCGTCAACACTGAGAAATCATTACCTTTATATAGAAGATGAGTTTTTAAAGCTCCTAAATAATTGTCTGGAGTTGCCTTTGATCCATGATCATTAATATCATTAATAAGCTCTCGAAAAGTGCGTGTGAATCTCAAGTTCACATTTGGCAGGGCAGTGGAAGAATGAACGCTTTTAAAATAGTTTGGCTCAGAAAGCACATCTGAAATAACCCTGTGGGAAAATCAAGAGAATTTCTCATCCTCGAAAGGATTACCTAGGATGAGACGCTGACCTTGTATTTTAAGTTCAGTTACATTGCTTAAAACCTCATTCATTACCCAGCCTGATTTATTTTAGGGGGTGAAGTGGTCTGTAGGAGGGGACTATCTAGTGATACACAGTTTTTATGTTTGCTTTGTGTTTTCTCCACAATTCCCAAAATATAATGTATATATCTTTTCCTTTAAAAAACAAAAATCTTCGTGAGATTTACTATCACTTTTCTCGCAAACTAGAACTGAAGAATTCCCTCTTCTTCAGGCGTCTAAGGCAATCAAACCCCAGAAGGCTGAGTGTGCACAGGGTGAGCAAAGCGCTGACCTCCGTGGGGGGGAGGTCAGTTCAACACACAAGACTCAAAAGGGAGGAAGAAAAAGCAACTCCTCAGCAGGGAGTTTGACTTGCTTTAGGGCAGAAGAGCTTTTATAAATAAGTTCCCAGTCTCCCACGCCCTCTCGCCACTCTTCTATTACTAGTCCTGTCTCTGTTGTGCTTAGACACACACACACACACACACAGAGCTCTTATTTCCCCTCACTGCCTCACATCCCTCTCTCCACCTGGAACTGTGGGATAGACTGGCGGACCCTTCTCTGGAGGAGGCAGGTGATGGATTGACTGGGAATTTTCATATACCCAGTTCCTTCGTAACATGCTCAGTTGGTGAGAAGAATGCAGAGGCCTCGTTCCCAAACCCACTGTCAGTGTCTAGGAGGATTAATACCAGCCCCATCCATTGCTGTTGTCAGAGGGAGAAGGTAGGGCAATCTCCAGCCTTGATGTGGCAGACTGGGCCGGGCTTTTGGAATGTGTCCCAGTAGGAGGAGTCTGGAAAGGCCTTCCTGTCACTGAGCCAGAGTGGACTGGGGCTTGTGCAACAGCAGCACTGCTTTGATTTGTATATTCCCTTTAAAATGCTTCCCTGGTGAGCCTTTTCCCTGATGAGCATTTTCCTCACTCTGCTCAGCTCGGACACCATCCAGAACAGGGGAAGAATGCATGGGCAGAGTCAGGTATCTAGAAAAAAAATGTCCTTAATCACTTGCAGCTCTCCAGTGCAAAGTGCCCCATCAATCTGAAAACGCTTCTGGGAGGAAATGCTCAGTGTGTCAAAGGTGCTGGGGATCTGCTGTCAGGTTTCTTGTTTTGATGCTGGAAGAATCTTCTGGATCTTACCTAAAGTCTAATCAGGCTCAAAGACAAGCAGACTGTCCATCTATAAATGAATTTTCTACATGAAATTGGCCTTGCTTTCCCTTGAAGACACTATTTCTCAGTACTGGTTTATCAAATTGCATGTTCTGGGTCCTGGTCGTAGAGATGATTTTGGCTGTTGTATTGCATATTTTTGAACCCTATCCTCATTAAGGTCTTGGTAATATTTTAGAAAAGTTTACTGAACTTGAGAAAAACCTTGATTTCTGCTGCTGCCTGTGCATGTTCTCCTAGGCCAGTTGTCTACCATCTGAGGGCAAAGTTAGGACAGAGAAAATGGTGGGAGAGAAGGCTGGACTTGACATTTAGCCCCTTCTCAGTCCAGAGGAAGCAACAGCTGCATGGTCTTCACCATTAGCTGTCAAGTAGGGAACTTCCTGTAGGACAAGGCTACTAATTGCAGGGGGTGTGGTCATGGAATCCTATCAGGCCAGGTAGCAGAACTTAGCTCATTTGGCCCTAATGGCATAAAATGATGAGGGCGGTGAGTAGATATAGAAGAAATACTTATATTCTTGTATTATTTTGAGGCTTTAGAGAACTGTCTATCCTCTGAAATCACACACTGTTGTAGAATTAAGTTGGATACCAGGTTGTTGCTTTTTTTTAATAGTCCTGTAGTTCACAGTTGTCCTAAATGGGCTTGTTTTTCTGTTCCCAGTGTAGCAGGCACTCAATTCATCAGGGTAAAAGTTGATGATTAGTCAAAACCAAAAACAGCACCTAAATGAGACATAGCCTAGACCACATCCCTTTAAAAGAGGTCTGTATTAGCTTGCTGTAGCTATGCAACTAATTACCTATCATAAACTTAGCAGCAATTTCTGACACCTTTTAGCTAGTCCCTCTGCTCTACTCTCATAAAGTTGGAATCCAGGTGTCAGCCAGCCTGTATCCTCTTTGGGAGGCTTAACTAGCAAAAGATCCTCTTCAAAATTCCCGCAGGTTGTGGGCAGAATTCAGATCCTGGCAGTTACAAAACTAAGGGCCCCACTGTCCTGCTGGTGGTTGGCTGGGGATTTCACTCAGCTCTGGAGGCCATTCTCCACTCTTTTTTGGGACCCCTCCATTCAATAATGGACAAACCTCCCTTGCACAAAATCTCTTTCACATTTGCATCTCTCTTATTTCTTCTGTGAAGTAGCAGTGCATGATAGCATAGGTTTCAAGTGTGCATCATTGTAAATCAACATCTCTATATACTATATTAATTCCCCAAATGAAGGTGCAAATCTATGCCTTCCCCATACGATTGATTTCTTTCACCTGATCGACCTATTTCCTTGCCCCCTCTCCTCCTAGTACTCACTAATTTTGTGTTACAGTTTAAAAGTTGGTGGTTGTTTTTTGGTTCATTTGTTGTATTTCTTTATGCCTCACCTATGAGTAAAATCAAATGGAGTTTGTCTCTCTCCATCTGACTTACTTCACTAGGCATAATGCCCTCTGGGTTCATCCATATTATTGCAAATGGCAGGATTTCCTCTTTTTTTTTTTTTTATATATAGCTGAGTAGTACTTCATTGTTTCTATATACCACACCCTCTTATTCACTCATCTGTCAATGGACACTTGAGTTGTTTCCTACTCCTGGCTCTTGCCTATAAATAATGCTGCAATAAAGTTGGGGGTACACATATCTCTTTGAATAAGTGTTATTGTGTAAAGTTTATTTGGGTAAATACCCAGACGTAGGATAACTAGATCTTTTTTTTTTAAGATTCATTTATGCATACAAGAACTGGAGTACAAGGCCAGAGGTGTGGTGGGTGAGAGGATTCACCAGAGAGAGTGGGAAGCAGAACAGGCAGACTGACTGAAATACACTGCTGAGGGAAGCAGCGGGCGTGACAGGAGAGGTCTATTGCACCATGTGTGTCACCTCCCTGGCCAGGGATCAAACTCGTGCTGCAGTGCCTGGGGATTGCTTCATAGTGCTGCAGCTTAACCCCTTGCGCCACCAGGGAGGCCCAAGATAACTAGGTCTTACGGAATTTTGATTTTTAATTTTTTGAACAGTCTTCACACCATCAATTACATTTCTACCAACAGTTTACAAGGGGTCCTGATTCTCCACGTCCTCTGTAACACTTGGCTCTTGTCTTTTGGGTAATAGCCATTCTCACAGGTGTGAGGTGATAGCTTATGTTTTGATTTGTATTTCTCCAATAATAAGAGATGAGAAAAATGCTT